CTTCCTCTCTCTCTCTTTCTTTTCTTTCTTTCCTTCTTTCTTTTTTTTTTCAAGACGGAGCCTCACTCTGTTGCCCAGGCTGGAGTGCAGTGGTGCAATCTCGGCTCATTGCAACCTCCACCTCCCGGGTTCAGGCGATTCTCCCGCCTCTGCCTCCTGAGTAGCTGGGATTATAGGTGTGCACCACCAAACCTGGCTAATTTTTTTCTATTTTTAGTAGAGACGGATTTCACTGTGTTAGCCAGGATGGTCTTGATCTCCTGACCTCGTGATTCACCCGTCTTAGCCTCCCAAAGTTTTGGGATTACAGGCGTGAGCCACTGCACCTAACCTCACTCATCTTTATATTGTCTTTAATTCCTCCTTAACACAAAGACTGGCCCACAATAGGTGCCTGATGAAAAATAGAAGAGAAAGCCCCTTTTAAAATCAAAAGAAGGCCAAGCATGCTGTTCATGCCTGCAATCCCAGCACTTTGAGAGGCCAAGGCACTAGGATCATTTGAGACCAGCCTGGGGAACATGGCAAAATCCTCTCTCTACAAAAAAAAAAATACAAAAATTAGCTGAGCAAAGTGTTGTGTGCCTGTAGTCCCAGCTACTCCAGATGCTGAGTTAGGAGGATTACTTGAACCTGGGAGGCGGGGGTTGCAGTGAGCTGAGATTGTGCCACTACACTCCAGCCTAGGCAATAGACTGAGGAGACCCTGTCTCAAAAAACTAAATAAATAAAATAAAAATAAATCAAAAGAAATGGTACAGGTACACAACTAGAAGCTATTACACAGCCCAGTTATCTGGAAAGCCCAAAGCATACTGTATTTCTAAGGTTAAATGGCATGAAATAGTGAACATTAGAAAGAAAAAAATCCCAAGTCCTCAGTAGCTTGTATAAGTCTCTCAGACGCTCCTCATTGTACTGAAACCCACTTCCAAGGTGACTTCTCAAGAATAGATCCTATAACCTGAGTAGAAAAAAATCATGGTCACCTCCAGACCAGAGCATCTGTCTACTCAGAACCTCTGACTTGGGACCTGCAGATACCGGGGTGACGCAGGCTCCTGCAATGCTCTGGCCCTTATACGTCACATGGCTGCGTCTTAGTGCGATGCTTCTCTCTTTGTGATCTACATAGTCTTAGGAGCATGCAACTACTCATGTGGGAGGATGCAAAAGTTTAGGATAAGTATATTGCATACCCTTGAAATGTCAACTTCACTTAAAAGTTTTTTTACTTTTTTCATATTTGCATTAAAGCCAATATGATTAGATTATGGTGCGAATGTAAAATTTACATTTTCTTTCAAGATAAAATGTAAGATGCCAAAAAAATGCTGTTTCTTTGCTGTGGGCCATTGTGGGCACTTCATTGGGAAGTTTGGAGAATCATGGTGTGAAATGACAAAGCCACATCTGTGTTTGCAGCTAACTGGGGGTGACCACGTTTTATTTTGCTCAGGTTACAGGATCTCTCCTTGAGGAAACGACTCGGAAGTGGGCTCAGTATAAACAGGCATGTCTGAGAGACCTACTCAAGGAACCTCCTGGTAAGCATGTGTATTAGTTATCCGCGGCTGTGTAACAAATGGCCTCAAAATCAAAAGAAGGCCAGGCATGGTGGTGGTTCATGCCTGTAATCCCAGCACTTTGAGAGGCCAAGGCAGGAGAATCATTTGAGCCCAGGAATTTGAGACCAGCCTTAGGAACATGGTGAAATCCTGTCTCTGCAAAAAAACAAAAAACAAAAATTAGCTGAGCAAAGTGGTGTGTGCCTGTAGTCCCAGCCACTCGGGATGCGGAGGTGGGAGGGTTGCTTGAACCTGGGAGGCGGGTTCCAATGCTTAGTAGCTCAAAACAGTAACAGTCATTTATGACCTCTCGCAGTTTCTGTGGGTGAGGAATTCAGACAGAACACATTGGGGACCGCTTGTTTCTGCTCTGTCATATCTGGAGTTTAGCTGGAGGACTCCCGTGGCTTCTCCACTTGACCATGGTTTCCATACGGCATGATGGTAGCATCCCTAAAGGCCTGCCCAACCAAAGGCCAGGTTGCCTTTTATGACTTGGCCTTGGAAGTCACACAACATTGCTTCTGCCGAGTTCAACTGGGCAGATGGCTACAAAGCTCTACCAAGGCTAAAGGTGCAGAAACATAGACCCCATGCCCCATTGCAACGGAACACAGGAAACAGGGTGTATGTGAATGTGGCCATCTTTGATGAAAGCCATCTACCATGGCACACTCATTACCTGATCACATGACATGATTATCTGCTGTAGATTAGCCTGGGAATCTGTTAAAGGAATGGAGGGAGTCCCCCATCTCCCAGGGCATTAACAGAATCTGAACAGTAACATTTCTCTTATCCAAGCCTACCTTAAGGTCAGAACATTCTAGCAAATATGTAATAGTTGTCTGCAGGCTGACTCTGGGTGCAGCCACAGAGACCACACCCACCCCCAAAAGCAAAAAAGAAAAGTACATCGGCCCATTTCCTCTGAGCACTGAGGACAATCCCTATCTCTGGCTTCATTCAGATCATTTTATTCAGAGGCCTTGAGATTGACAGGACACTGTGAACTCTCCCTTTCTCTCTTGACCCAAAGGCAGCCCCAGGCTTCAAGCCCTTCCCAGCTCCCTCTGAAGGCTTCATTGGTCCAGGCAGGTGGTAGTCAAGCCTTGAGTCAATCAGCTACAGGAATCACCTTTTGCTTTGGAGAACACTGATTTCTGAGGTCTAGGTAAGGCAGGTCTTCATCTGGAGCCATGCCATGTACAGCTCAGGTGAGCACTGCCTTACCCAGACCAGGTGCTGATACCTGGCAGCCAGGTCAACACAGTGTCCTAAGCCAGCTCATAACCTAGCACCATGGTGTTTCTAGGGCTTCCATGCCAGGTACCTGGCCATTGTAGCCTAATAGGGAGCAGTTGGTGGGGAGTGATGCTCAGCTTCCAGGAGTCAGGAGCTTGCAATGTTGGAAGTTTGGGACCTAGCCGGGCACGGTGACTTAGGCCTGTAATCCTAGCACTTTGGGAGGCCGAGGCGGGCGGATCACCTGAGGTCAGGAGTTCGAGACCAGCCTGGCCAACTTGGTGAAACCCCGTCTCTACTGAAATACAAAAATTAGCCGGGTGTGGTGGCATGCGCCTGTAATCCCAGCTACTCGGGAGGCTGAGGCGGGAGAATTGCTGGAACCCGGGAGGTGGAAGCTGCCGTGAGCTGAGATGGGGCCAATGAACTCCACTATGCTATATCAAAAAGTAAAATAAAATAAAAAGAAGTGTAGGACCTAGTCTGAGATACTTCCATTTGATTCCGGGAGGCCCATAAGGTGGAGTTTTAAGGTTGTTGCTTCCAATTGCCAAACACCTGGTTAATCCCCTGAGATGGTCCAGATATAATAATGATCATTGAATTAGTAGTGCTCAAATGGAGAGATATGGTGAATGGAGAGAGATGACTGTATCGTTCTTGTGTTGGATATGTGTGATCAAGGACTGTGAGTTTGTAGATCCCCTTATTCCACTGGTCATTTTGCACATTCACAGACTAAGGGTGTCCTGGGATCTAATTGGTGAAGGTCTGATGATTATTTTGCTGATTGTGGGACATAAGACACTGACTGAGCCACCGAGTGTCCTCCTGTCCCCAAGTTCCTGTGAAAGTTTAGTTCATGTCAAATAAAGCACAATTGGCATGACGTGTACATTGACGTAACTGACCGGAGGTCAAGTTGGGCAGACAAATGCACATTGTTTGGGACAGCAGTCAGCATTCCTGCACTCCCGAAATCATTCCCCATCCTTGACTCATCTAGAGAGTGGGACACCCATGCTGGTTTCTGCACAGGTTACACCTGCTTCCAGTGCCGGGAAGGTGGGCTTTGGGCTCTGGTGGTGCCTCTGCCTCCATCACTGGCATCCCTGTGCTGCAACACTGATGTTCATCAGACTCTTCTTCTTCCTGTAGGCATATTTTGTAACGGGACGTTTGATCAGTTCTTGTGTTGGCCTCATTCTCCTCCTGGAAATGTCTCTGTGCCCTGCCCTTCATACTTACCTTGGTGGAGTGAAGGTAATAAGTCTATTTTTATCAGTTTTCCCCAGCCAAGCATTTTTCTCTAGTTCACTTGCCCCGGTCCCCTTCTAAGCTCTCAGTCATACATCTTCCTTCTCCTCTTGTCTTCTGTAATTCTTCTATTTTTGGATGCTCCATTTATTTTTATGTATGTACATATATTTTTATTTGTTTTGTGGTTACATAGTAGGTATATATATTTATGGGGTACATGAGATGTTTTGATACAGGCATGCGATGTGAATAGGCATGGAGAATGGGTATCCATCCCCTCAAGCACTTGTATTTTCAGTTACAAACAATCCAATTACACTCCTTTGTTCACAATGTATGGTTAACTTATGATTGGCTATCGTTACCTGTTGTGCTATCAAATAGTAGCCTTATTCATTCTTTCTACTTTTTGTATCCATTATCCCTCCACACCTCCACTGTCCCAGCCCCCTACTACCCTTCCCAGCCTTCTATGCTCTATGCCCATGAGCTCAATTGTTTTGATTTTTAGATCTTATGAATTATCTCTCTTACTTTGAAGATTCTGGAGCACAGATCCAGCGGCCGCTAAATTTGGCTGCAGTGGGGGTAAGAGTGGCCGCTGTCATGGAGAGGAGAAAGAGTTGGGGGAGAAAGCTTGGGATGCTAACCTCCACACAATTTTGGCTTGTTAGATGGAGAGGAAGGATTTTAAAACTACCCTTGCATAAACATCGAAGGGAGGTGCCAATGAATTGGTGCTTTTAACTCCCATGGGACTTGGATGGAGAATTTAACCGCTTAGTTCGCCCTGATCCTGTTTAAAGGAAATAAACATTACTTAGATACCCAGGACAATATCCCATCCCTACTGGCCCCAGGAGCTCCAACTCTTGGTTATTTTATTTTGGAAGAGGAGAGAGGCGATTACCGGTTAGATTCCTGTTGCCTCTGATCACAGACCCCCAGCAAATGTAAGGACAATTAAAACTATTCTCAGGAAGTGGTTACAAAGCTCCAGGTAAAACAAGGTGAGAACCAGCTTCTAAGAGGGTAAGATGATAGCCTTTTGTATTTAATTTCAGCCCAATAAATCATTCCATTGTGCAACCTTGGTTTCAATATTTTCAGCCCTCCAGAGAAAAGAGAGAGAGAGTGTTTAGAAGGAAGATACATTTCTGGGTGGGAGAGTTAGTGACCTATTTGATGGAAGTGTTCTCTGATGAAATCCAGTTGGAATCAGCCCAAGAAGCATGAGAATGTGAGATTTTAAGGAGGGTGGAAGATAGAACTCGCTGGACCAAGGGCTCTGAATGATTCAGGCACTGTCCCCCTGGGAGCAGCTCAGTGAGGGGAAAAAGCACTGGGTGTGGAGTCAGAAGCCCCGAGGTCAGAGTCAGTTCCTCTATTTTACACTTGGAGACTTTGGGCAAATTCCCACAGCCCTCTGAGCTGCCGCTTCCTCATCTATGAAGGGAAGGAGAGTCGCTAAATCTGCAGGTCATTTTGAGGAGTAAATGAGAAGGCATTCAGAGGATATGTCACAGAGCCAGTGCAGTGGGAGCTGAAACCGAGTCCGGGGAGGAGCCCCTTGGATTCCTTTAGGCTTTGAAGACCCCAAACACCCGGACTCCTCAGTGGCACGTGGAGCTGATGTACCTCTCTGCTCACTGTCTACCTGCCCCTTTCCAAGAGCTAAAAATACAGATCTGTTCCACTTGAAGAGAAAATAAAGTGTTCAAAAAGCCACATTTACAAAGAAGTTGAGTTAAAGCCTCTTTAAAAAAAAAAGATAAAAGAAAGAAAGAAAATAGGTTTTGGGCTTCTGGAAAGTGAAGGGAGTGTGATTTGCAAAAGGTGGGAAATCACTCTTCCACCTGCCATTCTGTGCATTAAATCTTTAGAATCCAAATGGATCCCTGCCGTGAAAAGAGAATGTGGAGACCACGGAAGGGCACAGAGAAGAACATGTGCAAATGCACAGAGTGGAGGAGAGTCCCTGTGAGATGATCGTGAGGAATGAGCATGGTCATATGAGAAGAGGGAGTGCCTGAAGGCAAACAGCAGCTGTGATTGACGTGATTGACGACTGAGGCTGGGGGCTGAGGATGAAGGAAACCGGGTGTTAGTCACTAAGGGTTTCAAACTCTCCTCTGTGGAGGAAGACGACGTGGAGCTCCACAGGGTATTAAGACATAAAAAAGGAGCACACATTATAGTTTGAGAGAATGATGCCAATAGCCTGTAGCTATTGGGTCGAGGAATGGAGGAACCAGGGAGGTGAGTGCAGAAACTGCTGCAGTGTCCCAGGAAATAGCATTTTCTGAGTCTGGATTCAGGATCTGGGGCAGGAGCGAGAGGGCAGAGAGAAGGAGGAAGACTAAAGAAAAGTGTTGGAAGTGGAATGGTCAAGGTTTGTCATCAGTTGTAGTTGAAATAGAGACAGAGACAGAAAATGGGGGAGAGAAAAACAAACTCCTTCTCTTCCTCCTTTTTCCACCCTCTTTCCCATCTGAGGAATAGTCTCAGGGTCCACACGGCCCCACCCAAGCCCACGTCTCAACCAACTGGTCGCCAGGCTCTCTGGCCCCTCCTCCTCTCCATCCCTCACTGCTGCAGACTCACCAGCACCCTCTGTTGCTTCTCCATTTCCCCACCGGTCCCTGCCTCAGATCTGGCCCTTTGGAAAAGCTTTCTAAAATATCAGTCATATTTTGTCTGCCCCCATCATGACCCCTAAAGATGGTATGCAAGACCCCTGTCGCCTGGCCCTGCCAACGACCTTGTTAGCGCTCTCCCCCACATCCCGGGGTCCCTGCACTCCAGCCTGATGAGCAGTTCCGGGGCTTTGCACCAGTCCAGCTGTTGCCACGCGGCGCCTTGGCTCCCACATCTGCCCAGGAGGCCTCCTCACAGGCTCTGGCCACACTCCTCTGCCTATAAAGCCCCTGCAATTCTCAGCTCAATCCTCTCCTCCCTCTAGAAGATTTCTCAGACCTCTCCCCTCAAGCACAAAGGCTCTTTGCCTTTCTGAGGCCTCTTCTATACCTGTGCATTTATAATCTTAATTGTTTTATAATCGTTTTTGACATTTATGATTATTTGTAATCTTAGCATTTATAATCGTTTATGACAATTTTTCTTTGCACTCCCCCAAGCAGAGGTGAACCCTATTCATCTTTGCATTCCTAGCACAAAGCATTATGGCTAGCACAGACAACACAAGTGCCAAGTGAGATTCTTGCCATTCACTCATTCGACCAGCATTTATTAAGCACCTGTTGTGTGCTCTGCCTTTTTTTTTTTTTTTTTGAGACAGAGTCTCACTCTGCCACCCAGGCTGGAGTGCAGTGGCACAATCTCAGCTCACTGCAGCCTCCACCTCCCAGGTTCAAGCGATTCTCCTGCCTCAGCCTCCTGAGTAGCTGGGATTACAGGCACTGACCACCACACCTGGCTAATTTTTGTATTTTTAGTAGAGACAGGGTTTCACCGTGTTGGCCAGGCTGGTCTTAAACTCCTGACCTCATGATCCACCCATCTCAGCCTCCCAAAGTGCTGGGATTACAGGTGTGAGCCATAGCACCCGGTCATGTTATTCTTAAGTGCTTGGGATATATTAGTGAAAAAAACCGAGTGAGATCTCTCTCCTGTGGGGCTCACATTCTTGCAGGAGAGACAGACAATTATCAATAAGCATCATAAATAAGTGCAGACTATGTTTGAATGTGCTCTATGTTTGAAAAAATGGGGAAGGGAAGGGATGGGAGTGTTGGAGTGGGGTGATGAGTTGCAGCTGTAACCTGGGTAGTCAAGGAAGTCTTCGATGGCAAGGTGACATTTTGGTGAAGATGTAAAGAAGGTAAAGGTTTTAGAGGAAGGATGTTGGGGAGGGAAGGAGACAACAGGTCAATGGCTCTACGCGGGGACCATGCCTGGCCTGCTCCATGAAGAGAATGAGGCAGGCGTGGCTGTGGTGAAGAGAGGAGAGAAGCTATAGATTATGGCAGAGAGTTACGGGCTGAGTCTTAATGGGGCTTCGTGAAAGGCCATATGACATTTTCTCAGAAAGCCCTTGGAAGATTTGGAGAGAAGCGTAATGTGATGTAGCTGATATTTTATTCAGCTCGCTCTGACTGCTGGGTTAACCCCAGATGTGAGGGGCAGGACTGTCAGAGGAGTCTGCAATAATCCAGGTGGGAGATGATGGTTCCACAGTCTGGAAGCAGCAGGTGAAAGTGGCAATCAGATTCTGGGCATAGATAAAGGCAGGGATGACAGATTAGCTAGAGGACCAGAGGAGGGCTATGAAAGACGGGGAAGGGAAGGGTGACTCTGAGATTTAGGGCTGGGGGACTGGAAGAATGGGTTTGCCATCCACAGAGGTGGTAAAATATATAGGTGGAGCAGATTCTGAAAAGAAGAAAAAAAGTTTGGTTTGGGGTGTGTTGTCTGATGTCAATTAGACACCTTACCTAGCAAAGCTGTCAGGGGAGCAGGAGACGGTACCATTTGGCTGTCCATTAATTACATTCAGCAGAGAGTTACTATTGGCCCATGGTCTGCAGGGCCAGGACTAGGAAGGACCAACAAATTTCGACTTCTCATTTGCAAGCCCAGCCCTTAATCCTCCAGGTAGGAAGACCCTCTGGGAGAGTCTCCTGGGATAGGTGTGACTCAGTCGCAATGGCAGTCTGTATGAGCAGAGGGATTTTCTCATCATTTGCACACACTCTTTCCTTTAATCCTTTTCCAAATCATGGAGGGTTGGTGCCAATTATTATCCCCAGTTCCTGATGAAAAAACAGGAAGGCTTAGAGGTTAGGAGAGCTGGGCCCAGGACACACTCATGCACAAGTGGCACACACAGCTTCAGCCCCAGTCTTTCTCATCTTCATGGCATGGACATCAAGAAGAGATGCCCACCTAGCAAGCTCCAGGAGCCCAGATTGGCGTCTCCCAGCTGGGCTGAACCTTGGAGGCGTATAACATCTCTGAGTCACCAGGGGCTGTTCTAACTCCAGAGACTTTGGGTAAACACAGCAGACATTAGCAGACCATGGTGTGTTACAAAATTGAGAGGCTTCCATGTTTTTCTTTCCATCCCAAATAAACAGTGAGGATGTTAATGAGCCCCCAAAAGGGGAAATGAAAATCCCTTTTCCCTGGGACTTTCCACAGCTCTGTGGCATGCTCAGCGGAATGGGCTGCGTGTTCTGACCTTTCCTCCAGAGCTTTGTTTACTTTCAGAGAGCTCAGGAAGGGCCTACAGACACTGCTTGGCTCAGGGGACTTGGCAGACGGTAGAGAACGCCACGGATATTTGGCAGGACGACTCCGAATGCTCCGAGAACCACAGCTTCAAGCAAAACGTGAGTTTGCTCAGCTCAGTGAGGAGGCATCCAAGGTCCAAATCACCCTCCTCCGAGACACCCCAGTGGCCGGCTGGCTCGAGGGGCCACACAAAGAGCTTTCTCCCAGTGCGTCTCCCTGGGGAAGCTAAGCAAAGTCCTGCAAAGCAGCAACTCTCATGTCGGCCATGGAATTTCTTCCACTACTGGGCTGATATGCAAAATCCTAAGAGAAATCAGTCTTCCAGGGTGGATCCTGGCATTTACGCTTGCTCTTCCTTATGCCTGGAGCATTTGTCCCAGCTCCCCTGTGGCTGGCTCCTTCTCACCCTCCAGATTTCAGCCCAAATGTCTCCTTCAAAGAGAGATCTTCTGGCTAGGAGCAGTGGCACAGGCCTGTATTCCTAGCACTTTGGGAGGCTGAGGCGGGCGGATCACGAGGTCAGGAGATTGAGACCATCCTGGCCAACATGGTGAACCCCGTCTCTACTAAAAATAGAAAAATTAGCTGGGCATGGTGATGCAAGCTTGTGGTCCCAGCTACTGGGGAGGCTGAAGTAGGAGAATCATTTGAACGCAGGAGGCGGAGGTTGCAGTGAGCCCAGATCGCACCACCGCACTGTAGCCTGGTGACACAGCGAGGCTCCGTCTCAAAAAAAAAAAAAAGAAAAGAGAGAGATCTTCCAGGCTCACCCAATCCAGAGACTGCCCTTGGTGGTCACTTTCATACCACATGCCCACCCAACCACCACTTTAATCCCTCTATGGCACCTGTCCCTCCCTGAAACTCTTACACATTTGCTTATTTGTTGTCTAGCCCTCTCGCCAGAATGTAGATCTGGTGGTGACAGGGGACTTGTGTGCCTCGAGGGGGCGGCATAGCACAGGGTCTAGGGTCAGACGGCTCCACGTCCATCCCAAATAAGCAGTAAGAATGTTAATGAGCCCTCAAAAGGGGAAATGAAGCATCCCTTATTCCCGGGATTTTCCACAGCTCTGTGGCATGCCCGGGGGAACAGTCTGTGTGTATGCACATCCAGACTCTGCACTTCCTGGCAGTGAACCTGGTGCAAGTGACCTCATCTCCCTGGGTCTCTGCTTCCTCATTCATGCCACAGGGATCATATTTGCTCCATGTGACGTTGTGAGGATTTAGTCATCAGACATCAATTTCTTAGGAGAAAACATGATACAGAGTGAGCATGGTGTAATGTAGGCATTCCTGCCCTATCCCCAGGGTCTGCCACAGTAACTGGTCCCCAAGTCCCCATGGCTTTCCAGGAAAGGTTCTTTGGATAAACAAACACATCCATGCTTCAGACTTCTCTCCACATGTGTTCTTTCTGGGATCCTTCTGCACTGTACTTTCTTGGGCTCTTGCTTTTCTCCCTGAGGACCTCTCGGTTGTCCAAAATCTGCTCAATTTCCTTCAAGGGCAAGAGGCTGCACAAAGCGAAGGAACAGGTGTTCGGGAATCAGACAGATATCTAGGGCCGCCCCTTGGTTTCTTTCATTCAGACAGGCCACAGACAGTCAAGATGCATCTCCAATAGGTTAGGTTTTTGCATCAGGGGCTGGGAATAAACAGGATAGCCCACGGATACTGCCTCCAGGGAGCTCAGAGTCTCATGAGGTGCATGGACAGTGTGATCGCTGCTGGGAGGGAGGTGTCGGATGCCCACGGTCACAGAGGAGGGGGAAACTGATGCAGATAGTGGGCAGGGAAGACTGCTCAAGCCTAGCTCTGCAGGGTGAGAAGGAGATTACCATAGGGGGAGAGAGAGCAAGAAGGAGAAACACACCTAGGGTCATCAAAGAGGACACGGGGCTTTGGGGACCACTTCAAGTGCCGCTAGGAAGGTGAGGTAGGACCTAAGAAGGACACAGGTGGAGGTGGAGGCCTCAGGAGAGAGAGGTGATTAAGGCCTCCTGTGCCTGGCGAAGGGCTTAAGACTTTGCATGTTGAAGTAGGGGAGGGACATAACTAACTCCTGTGTTGACAGGTTTGCCCTGGCAGATTGGAGAGGGGTGAGCCTGTCAACACATGAGCTTGTTATGGAGATTGGAGCCATGCTGGAGGCAAAAGGCAGGGAGAACAGGCAGGAGCCATGGGAGCAACTCAGCCCAGATAGGAAGGGAATACCAAGGGGGTGGAAGAAGACAGAGGGTGGACTCCCAGGTTTACCAAGGAACAGAATGGTAGGACCTGGTGCTGGAGGCTGTGAGAGGGTGGAGTCCAGGACAACGAGCTTGCAGGCTTCTGGCTTGGACCCTTGAGTTTTGAAAATGCCCTTCCCTGAGAAAGATACAGGGAGAGGCCTTGCTCTTTAGGTTCTCAATATTTTGCTACCTAATTCTGTGTCCTAATTTGAACCTGCAAAACACCCCCACTCTCTGCCACCCCCACACCCCCTAGTTGTGGCTTTTTTTTTTTTGAATAGAATCTGTCTCTGTTCCCCAGGGTGGAGTGCAGTGACATGATCATGGCTTACTACAGCCTCCAACTTCTGGGCTCAACTGATCCTCCCACCTCAGCCTCCTGAGTAGCTGGGACTACAGGCGCACACCACCACGTCTGGCATTTTTTTTGTAGAGACAAGGTTTTATCATATTGCCCAGGCTGAATTGTGGCTTTATTTCATGATTTAGTTGGCATTCTTTAGCTTTCTGAAGTCATTTAAATATTCTCCCATTGAACATTAAAGATATTTTAATATAATAGTTCAAAGTTTAGGGACGGGGAAGGCAAGGAGTCAGTTTTAGAAACACTATTGTGTGACTTGAGTCGCCTAGCCTCTCTACAGGCATCTGTCAGATGGGGTTGAAAATACCAGCTTTACAGGCCTACTTGTGAGGCTTCAGAGGGTAATGAACGTGGAGTGACTCATCAGTCTCCTGGCACACAGTAGGTGTTTGATAGTTATGATTATTGCATTTCTTTTCTTTTCAGAATATCTTCCCTGGACCCTGCAAAAACTTCTCTCCCTCCCTGGGCCTTTCTGGTCCAGTCCTAGGGATATGATCATAGTTTACTTGTCATTGTGAGATTTTTGGTGTCTGTGATGTTAGCTTTTCTGCATTGGCTACTTGATTGGGTTTCTCTCACTCTGTGTGTGTGTGTGTATGTGTGTGTGTGTGTGTGTGTGTGTGTAATATTTCATTTGACTTTCAAAAGTAAAAAACCTAGCTTTTTGTTAAGTTATTAAGGTCAACTCTATTTTCTATAGTTTATTATTCTATTTATACATCTAGTAAGTTAATCTACTTTCATAGATGTCTTTGATTAATTTTTGTCGACACTAATTATTTAAATATTATTTTACATTTTAAGCTGCATTATTACATTTGATATGCTTTAGAAATTTAAACTATCTTAAGTAATTGTTATAACAAGAAAATCTTTCTTATTTTTAAATAATTCTAGTCCATCAAATACATCGAGATTATATGGTGAGTCTTAAATTTCCGTAAATATGTCATATTGTTTTCATCAAGGTGTCAACTTAAAGTTGAAAATCAAATACTCTTTGATGTATTTCATATTGGAATCTTAATACTAACCTATTAGATCGTCTAATATGTCATATTCTCTAAATAATATCAATTACATGCAGATTGTGCAAGTAATTTTAAAAACCTCTACATGAGGGATAGACAGAAGGGTAGATATGTGATGATACAACATAGAGTTTAATGATTTAGAGGCTGTGCACAGTGGCTCACACCTGTAATCCCAGCACTTTGGTAAGCTGAAATGGGAGGATTGCTGGAGCCCAGGATTTTGAGACCAGCCTGGGAAACATGGCAAAAATCCGTCTTTAAAATAAAATATAAAAATTCACTGGGCGTAGTGGCATGCACCTGTAGTCTCAGCTACTTGGGAGGCTGAGGTGGGAGGATCGCTTAAGCCCCAGGAAGTTGAGACTGAAGTGAGCTGTGATTGTGCCACTGCGCTCCAGTGTGGGTGACAGAGCAAGACGCTGTCTCAAAAAAAAAAAAAAAGAAAAGAAAAGAAAAGAATAGTTTAATATTAGAATCTAGGTTTTGAATATACAGATGTTTTTTATAAAGTTGATTTAACTTTGCTGTGTGTTTAAAACTTTTCATAATAAATATTGAGGAAAAACAAGAAAAAAATTCTATAACTGAATTCAATGCAAAACATCAATAAATGTCATGGTGTGATCAAACCTTGCCAAGATTAAGACACAAAACAAAAACTTTCACACTAAGGAGGCAAACTAGCCCAAGAAAGTAGACGTTTCCATCTCAGGAGACATGGTTGCCTATAGACCAAGATTTGTTTTTCGGATTTTCAATACCAGTGGTGTAGGTGGGTTGGTAAATATTAACAACAGGTTCCCTGATTCCACTCCTGAGGAAAGCAAGGCTGTGATTTGTTAACATTTGCCAATTTCTGTGGCATCAGTTCCCTGCCAATTTCAAGCTACCGGTGTGAACGCAGAGTATGCACAGTAGCACGGCATTAGAAATGTTTCCCCTTATGCAGCTTTAACAGCCAAAATAACCTTGGTATCTCTGAACACTGACATGTAGAAACATAATTTGGAAGAGATGAATTTTGACTATTTATTACTTTCATTCTGAATATAATTTATTCATTGTAAATTTAAATCGTTTAATTTTTAAAAACGTTAAAAGTGTTTTACAACTGGCTCCCTGAAAATTTGCCCACCAGTTCTCATAAGCCAGGGTGACCACACCACTGGGTCTACCAGGGTGATTGTTTTTTTTTCACTTTTGCCAAGAAGCTGAGCCCTAAGTTCATGTTCGTTAGAGGAGGTTGATTGCATTCAGGTTCAACACATTTCATAACCTAGCTCTTTGGTCTAATGGGAGCCACCTGGCTGGGGCCCTGTTCCTTCAGAGCCTTGCGGGTGTTGGGGTTGGCATGTCTTTTGCTCCCTTAAGTCTATCCTAATCAAGGTGCAGTGGCTCATAACTATAATCCCAGTGCTTTTGGAGGCCAAGGCGTGAGGGCTGCTTGAGGCCAGGAGTTC